GGTCCATTCATTTACAAACTACATCTAGATTTACAGACACGTCAAATTTATAAACGCATCTCTTTGCGCCGGCAGTTAAAATCTATTTTCAACGGGCGCAAAAGATAGGTTATAGGTAGGAATACAAACAACTACTATATTCCATTTTTCTGGATCTATGCACACGAGTAAGCAATCAGTCTCACATCGTAGATACGGAGTTCAAAGCTGTTCTCCGTGTAACCCAATTTTGTCAGCATCTGACACTGTACACATTAATTTCGCGCTAAACAGCATTCGCTATAAGCATACCGCTTATGTATCGTTGCGTTTATTGCCTATTTTATGACGTAATCGCTGCGTTCCTGCGGCGTCTTCACTAGTGACGTGCTTCTAAAAATATCACTGAAAAACCGGAAACATTCAATAGTGGTGAATACCGGTTTTCACAGTAACATAAAGTTGTCGTTCGACATTTAAAACTATATAGTTGAAATGTTAAAATATTTTGTAATGCAACAATTAATTAGATAGTTCGGTTTCTCGGACAATTTTTCCATAAATATGGAATAAACAAACAATTTAAATATTTTGTGATTTATATATCGTTTCATTATAATTACTTTAGGGACATGAAAAAAATTTATATAGACATAATATTTATTAATAAACTCAATTGAATCTTTTTTAAACAGTCTATTAATAATTCGTACCGCTATATTCAGAACCAATTGACGGTATGAACTAACAATATTTCTTTATTACTTCAAGCTATTTCCGGTTTTTTATGAAACCGGAATACTGTGCTCCAATTGCTTCACTAGTGCCCATAATAACGGTCCTGTTTGTTACAATATTCTTTACTTAACAGGATATTATTAGTATATATACATATATTATTGTTTGAGCACTTTATTATTTATTGATAAATTTAATCACAGTACTTTTGAACAGTTATTCTATAATTCTACTACTATAATTGGAATTCTAATTAGCGATGAAAATTTCTGATTTCCGGTTTTTTGTACGAACCGGAAAACTTTACCTCATTTGTCGCATCACTAGTTACGATAGCGATAACGAGGTTCATGGGGGCTGTTTGTTACACAATGTCATCTAATTAACGGGATATTATTAGTATCTTCATTGTTGTTGCAAAACTTGCTACTTGTACGCTTAATATCTGTAATTTACGTGTTTTGAACTAGGCGAATGCGGTAAACGATTTTCGAGTACAATTTTAGATTTATTGTGCTATTTGGGTAATATATCATATACGCTTATATACTCTACGTGTGCAACTAGGTAATGGGTGATACATATAGGTTGATTTCTATATGTAATATTATAAACATGACGCAAGAGCTACACGCAAGTTTCTTACTCATTCTTCTTGTGATGAGTCTGCGTTTCGAATGAGTGGTAGGTTAAAAAAATATGATTATTCAAAAGTGTTTATATTAAGCATATTTAAATAAAGATTATTTACATTTCTATGGTTGTAAAGTTTGAACCATCTAAACTATATTATATTAATTCTATTGTTATTGAAAGTTTTTACTACAATCAGACTTAGTAGCTGGTTTTATTTATATCAAATTTGTAATTCGTAAAGTTATTAAATAAAAAAGAATCCATAAAATGAACTCAAAACTAGTAAAATTACGGAAAACATACTTACAAAAACACATTGTAACTCGTCTATTATTAAGTCGGTTAAAATGCAACACAAACAAACAGTATTGTTATTACAAGTCCACTTTACAACATAATAACTCAGTACTCTCAGTGTTGAACACGAGATTTCCCCAAAACGTCGCGCCATTAACATTTTAAGCTACATGTAAACTACTGGAGAACAACATTGTAAGCTACGATTATGGACATAAACCGTGCTTACATTGTGAGCTATCTTTTAGTGTTTAATCTGCAAATGGACCGCCATATACTGAGCAGCGACACGACTAAATGTATCACTAAAAGAAATATATGCATTTACCCAATGGAGACTTTGTAAAAAGCCGTCTGGGTGGGTACCTCAGTATCACCTATTTCAGCCGCCAAACAGCTTGCTTAGTAAGTTGTAATTCGGTGGTAAGGTTAAAGAAGCTACCGAAATTACAGGATTGGAACATGGTATCTTAGTTCACTTTGCAGGAGTGGTAACGATCACGTTATGGGATACCCGTGATACAATTTCGAAACACATATCATGTATACGTGTATCAAAATTTCATGTCACAAAACACTTTAAGTTGGTATAAATTTTCGCATGAATTTCTATAATACCTTTTTTACCCTGAACAATTTACACAGCCATATCTAGTCCAACCGTAAGCAGAGCTTGTGTTATTGCTATTAGACAACTGATAAATACTTCGAGTTTTTTGGGGTTTTTTTTGTCAATACATACATAATAATCATACTCATGAATACTAATATTTGCACCGTGCAGGGAATCGAAGAAGGTGTACGGTATCTTAGAACTATTGAAGAGAAACAATTGTGTAAAACTAACAGATTATGCAGCTCACACCAAAACAGCTTTTAAATTGAAGATTTTTCTCGAATTAATTGATATTCATGTCATATTTCGTCCAATTTATACAAATCTTTGCAAAGTTTCGTCAAAATCTGTATTTCAATTTTAGTGACATGACATGTCTTCATATATCAATGAGACAAACATTCACGTTTATTTTTATTAGTAGAGAGGATAGGCTTCAAAGATTAATCTGCCCTATTCATAAATGCTAAATAAAATCTTTTATTCAACAATTAATATGTGTTTAATTGTCATTAATACATAATTATTTGTAAATTGAGTTCGTAAGCATAGCGAGAATATACAAAATACTCATAATAATCACACCTTAATTAAATGTATATTTAACAAAGTTTTTAATATCTATAATATGCATATTTTGTGAATACAACGAACTAAAACAGTTCAATTTATAAAACTATAAAATCACAGAATTCAATTGAACGGAAATTAATGAAATCGCCGGCGGAATAACAACAAATCACTGTTCCAATCGGATCCAACCGAACAATTCCATTACCAGTATGCATCCACAAGCGTGCACAGATCGATAAAGCAGTCGGGTACAAACGATTCACCTCCCAATTAACGCCTACTTAACATTAGAGCAACATTCGACTCAATTAACAAAAGTGGGGCCGTAACGGCGAATTACACCCCGGAATGGAAGGAAGCCAGTTTTCCGCAAGAGAGGACGAAGTTTGCAGACCGTGCGTCTCGGCCGATGCATTTTTGGATACGAGCCCAAATAACTTGTTGCACCAACGGGCGGCAACCTGTTGCGCGCTAGTGCCCGGCCTATGGCACGCGATTTTTGCCCGTTGTTACAAATACATAATGAATGCTGCTCGCATTCACCATTTAGTTCCCGTCGTGGGAGTTTTGTTGCTTTGTAGTTTGCGGCAAATTGAAATAGTCTTCGGAGTTTTAAGTGGCTCTCCGTTTGTTACGACCGTAATGTTGAAACGACTGCTGAATTATTCCGGTTTAGGAGATACTGTCGAGCATGTGGAATGAGGTCGTAACTGACTCGTCCAGTTTCAGATGTAAAAACTGTTAATAGTTTGCTTTCGCTGCATTGGGAAGATTTATCAGGTAATGGAACATCTAAAAGATTTGCATTTCCTGGGCTATATAGAAAATGGCTAAGGTTCAATATAGCCTATCAGATTGTTTGCCATTATAGTCACCTACATAATAATAATTATACATCTATACATTCATATGTGAAACAAAACATTGTATCCCTTTTTATGGAAATAGCGCGATCGAAGGAGTATGAAATTTCGTACATTTATAGTTTATAGGATATTTTAAAAAGATATTAGCACTCTCTGCACTCTAGAAAGAGTGCAGACTGCAATCTTTTTAAATCTTAATAATTATTTTTTTATTTAATATCTTTATAAATCATTTTCAAATTCAAATTCAAATTCAAAAATCATTTATTCATGTAGGACATTTTAGCCGCTTATGAACGTCAAGTTTTTACATTATAATTTTTTTTCCCCTACCGTCCAGTTCGGTATATAGATCCAATTGAGAAGAACTGGCAAGAAACTCAATTGAATTACTTTTTTTTTAAATCCAGTTTTTAACAATGCACAGGTATTTATATAGGTGTCTATGTCTAACATTAAATGAAATTTTTAAAATTGCATTTTAAAATTGCATAACAAATACTAATGTATTTTTTATGCAATTTTACGGTATGTGTAATATTTTATTTATTGATTTAATAATCAATAAATAAAATATTATCAAAATATATATCAAAATACTAGGATATTAGACAACAACACGCTCTTTTGTTTATTGTTAAAGACTGTGATCAAATTGAGAATAGGTTAATATTTTTTCGTTTAATATTATTTATCCATAGTATTACTATGTAATATTATGTTATATTACTAAACATTAAATTAATTATTGTCGAATTCCGACAGATGTAACTATGATGTATGAACTAATGATCGCCCAGTGGTATTATCTCGTCATCTGCTTCTTCCTTATTCCATTTATTTGGGGTCGGCGTAATATGTTTTTCACTCATTATTCTCTGTTCGCAATCATCTCAATATTTAATCTCTTTCTAACTATATCATCTTTCACACAGTCCAGTCATCTCTTTTTCGGTCTTCCTCTGCCCATATAACACATTCTTATATAAAACCTTCCTTATAATATTACTAGCTACTCGCCCCGACTTTGCACGGGTGTACATGTATAAACAACACATATAAACCTTACTCTAAAATCGTCCTATCTATTAAAAAAATTGCCTCAAAATCCATTGCGTAGTTTTAAAGATTTAAGCATACATATGAACAGACAGCGACAGCGACTTTATTTTATGCTATGTAATGATGATGATGTAAAGGTACCTACCAAACTATATATAGCTGTACTACATAATAACAAAGGAAAGTGTATTGCAAGTCGACAAAGTTAAAAAGAGACATATATATTGTTGCAGGGTGCGTCCTCTAGTCTAGTGGTGAAATTTGCCGACACCGAAAAAGAGAGACAACTGCGACGCATGCAGCAGATGGCTGGCAACATGAGCCTGCTCAACCCTTTCGTGTTCAATCAATTCGGAGCTTATGGTACCTACGCACAGGTCATCACGGAGCAGGTCAGTTGGTTTTTATTTATTTAAAAAGTAATGCACAAGTACTATGTAGAATAAAACAAGCCGAGAAATTAATAATTAAAAGAATACATCCGTACGATGCCGGGACGGATCGCTAGTTGTTATATATACAGATAATATATACATTACAGATTTTTTGTTATTTATATTTTACCTGTGCAACTCGGTGTAATAAATTACACACAATATTTTAATGAAATGGTCCTCCCACCTGCGATAACGGTCTACGCTGGTGGGGCGCCAGTGGAAGATTATATTATGACCATGAGATCAAGTCAGTTAGCTCATTGTGAGATATTCACTAGAAATTTATCTCGATGGTTTCCAGGAGGAACCACGTGGAGGTTAACCTGACTTGGTACATTGCTAGTAATGGAAGTTTCTAGTTACCATTACTAACGGTAGCGCGAGCATCATTCCATTATCATACCTTAAAAAAACCCTAGCATCAGAAGTGGTGGGTGTTGTTATTGACAGTAATTAAGTTGACCACCTATTATTTGCAGCAACAAGCGGCGCTGATGGTAGCAGCGACAGCGCAAGGCTACATCAGTCCTATGACAGCACTCGCGTCGCACGCTCTCAACGGCATGGCCAATTCAGTCGTACCACCCACATCTGGTGAGTACCATAGACTTGCACCATAGACACGGAGAGTATATGTTCTTTCCGGTACATTTTCCTCTGATCTAACAATTTACTACCGATGGAAGCGGGTTCGATTCCTCGCGCAAACGTTTGTATTCATGAGTATGATTGTTTGTATTTTTCTGGTTGTTTTCTATGTATCCTAGTTTTCAGGACTTTTGGATATTACTTTCTTCAGTTTACTTAAAAGCTTAAAGGGCTGGTTCTAATTTATTACATAATTCTTCGATCTGTAATGCCTCACGTATTGTAAAATCTATACAATATTATATATATATACAGAATACACTATATTTATATATTATTAGAATAAGCTATAGATCTATAGTGTATTCTAATAGTATGTACGTATTAAAAAAAAATCTAAACATATTTATCAGTTGTCTAGTATCCACAACAGAAGCACTGCTTAGTTTGGGACTAGATGGCACTGTGTGAATTGTGCAAGGATATTATATTATTATTATTATTCTGTGTCGATACAAAGACATAATTCGTTCAGAGAGACACACGTATGGTCTGATACACAAGACAATCGTCACGTTTAGTATTCCGACTGGTGTGTTGGCGCAGACTACAGTCTCTCGGCGACAAATTGAGTTTTTCTTTTAAGACTTATTTTATTAGGTCCCATCTGGCTGCAATACAGTCTATAAAGAGACAGATCTAATGTGAATTGTATATGTTGGATGCCAAGAAAATTGGCAATAAGATTGCCAAGTTGTAAACATAAATGTTTAATATACTACACGCATGCCTAGTCCTAATCAAACATACGGACACACATAGTATACATAAGGTATAGAAAAAAAGAATATAAGGAAAAAACATCTTTTTCGTACTTTGTGTAAACTTAAATTCAGAACAACGTGGTATGTCAGAAATGAAAGCGTGTTTTAATATATTTGCAAATATATATTTTTTTAATTATACATAAAAAAAACTTTAAATCAATAAAAAAAAATTACACAAAGCATTTGACACATATGTCTAACTTAGAAAATGTGAAACAATCAAAATTTAAACTCATTAGTTCGCTAATTATATATTATACTTATTTAAATAATTATTTACATTATATATGTTCGGAGCACAGATAACATAATTTTACATATTACGAATGACCCAATAAGACCACAAAAACTGTGAACCTAAACAAATATACTAATACATATTACCAACAAATTAAACTAATACAATGTTTAATTTGTATAAAATAACTGTATGGTGTAGTTATATAAATAAATAAATAGCCCTGGACAATTAATACAGCGCCATCTAGTCCCGCATTAAGCAGAGCTTGTGTTGTGGGGAACCCGCGACCATCGGAAGTAAAGCGGTGTACTAAACCACAAAACCACCAAGGCCGTTAAATATATTATGGTGTATCTGCTGTTTAATAAATAGGAATAATAATAATAGTTTACTAGTATATTTAAATATTTATAATCTGTATGTCTGTTTTGTATCTTCAGACAACTTCACGGGCCTGGCGATAGGCACGGGTGGCGCGCAGCCCCTGAACGGCGCGCTGCCGTCTCTCCCCTCTCCGACAATGCCAGGCTTCAACATGGCGGCCCAAACTGCCAATGGACAACCCCCGCCGCAGGACGCCGTCTACACTAACGGCATCCACCAGACCTTCACTGGACGTAAGTTATTTTTAAACTTTCGTGTTGATATTATTAACCGGATCTTAACATCAATTTTAGTCAGCTGTTGACAACGGCTAGTGTAACCTAGTCGATATGACAAAAAAATATTCGTTTTAGGACTCTGTTAATAATATACACATAATAATAACACAGCGTAAAAAGGCGGATAACCATAATTACATGACACGAAATGGACATAAATTAGAATTACCAAGATTACGACTTGCAAAAACAATAAAACAAGGTATTTACTTAAAAATAAAAATGTACAATAAACTATCAAATAAAACAATGCAATTAACATCAACAGAATTTAAGAACAAAATAAAATCATATTTCGAGCAACATCCTTTTTACAATGTGACGGAATATCTGAATTCCAATGTACAATTATGACATTTTCCATTAAGTGACTTTTATTACTATATTATATATTATTTAAATTATTATTTTGATATATTTAAAATTGTAATTGTGACATAATTATCTTAAAAATGTAATTACTATTGACATGCTGTTGTGTAACGAGATTTGTTACATTTGTGAATAAAGTAATATGAATATAAATAATGGATGTAAGTTGTATTTCAATATAGCCCGATGGTTATCACCTCACCACTGTAGCGTTATGTATGATGTGATGAGGTATCGTTACTTAATATATTAGGGCTGAGCTTAATAATCTGCAGTAATTGCCAAGCAGAAGAGAAAACGCTACTAAACATCCTATGTGGTTGTAGCCCACTCATGCATAAACGAAATATCTCCTTTGGACAGTATACGCTATATCCTGAAAACCATAAAATATCCTTCAATTCATGTTCCTGACGGGTCCATTTCCCCTGGTCCCTCCCCTTTTTATATCTCTATCTTTGGAGAGAGATAGATAGATAAAGAGATCTTCTCTACCTAGCTACATATACCATGGTGGCGAGATAACATTAGGTTTTGTCTATATGCACGTCAGAGACCACTCCACCATATCCCTTGCCACTATATCCCCTCATCCGACAATAGGTCTAAACTGTCTAACCTTCTAACAAAATAACTTTGTTGATTCATGAAACTCCATTCTATATTTTTTGCTATTTATTACATAGATAAATAGATATTTATTACACATTGCATTACGTCGGTATATTAAAGACCTATGGAAAAGTAACAAATCAAATACCTAATTGAAACTCATTAAGTTTCAACATTGTATTCCAGCGGTGCCTGTGACCGCGCAGGGCCTCCCGAACGGCGAGGCGGCGCTCCAACACGCGGCCTACACCGGCATGCAGCCGTTCCCAGGAGTCGGTGAGTAACGCACACGCCCCCGTCCTCGCCCCACCCCCGCCCCACGCCCCGCCTCACCCCCCGCTTACACAGTACACACGCTTGCCCGTCCGTTGCCGGAACGATCCGGTCATATTTAATTTTTAAATGTATCTATGCATCCGATATAAAAATGAAATTGTTAATATTAAACTGAAATTGTATGTTTACCAAAACAAAATGTTTTTGTAACGGATGCATAATGGTAAATCATATTGATTAAGTAGGCATTTAGGTAAATATTCGTATATTCGTATTGGTATATATAACTATGTAATTTAGGATGTATGGTAAAATATCGATGTGCAATAAAAAGAGATGTCATTGTAAGCATTGTTCAAGTGATTGATCTAACCTAATTAAATTTTAAATTATTTTCAATGCCAATTCACAGAGTAATTTATAAAATACAGATCAATCATTTGAATACACATGTCGTACATATAGGATTATGAGCTGTATTCACGCTGTTCGAATATTCGTTTTGATAAGTACACATTATAATGTAGTTATGTGTTTGGTGTCTATATTGTAATTATTAATTATTGTTATATACGTACAAGTATATTTGATATAAACCCACCAAGTGGTAAATATATTTACTATGCATACGACATTATATGATTGCACGACATTATTTATTTATCCCTTTATTCATAAAAAATACTCTTGTATTGTTATTTTAATTATTACAATATATCTTCAATTTCTTTGAAATACGAATCTGTAGTTCTGTAATCATGTAGGTACAAGCTAATTTGAAAGGAATAAGAGCTGACTTTCTTGTAAGTTCTTAACTCGAAACGGTAGATTTGACAAATGAATCAGTATTTATATAAACATGTATGGTAGATTTGACAAGATCATAACAGCTTAACTGTAATATTAGATTTGACAAATCATAACAGCCTGTAATATTAGGTAGATTAAAGATAATTTTATTTGATTTGATCTTTGTAATTGAGAACATTTCCCAAAGTAGACTTTATTTAAAATCGTCTGCGTGCATTCCTCTGTTTCGCTTATTTCCGCCACCAAAGTTTGCTTGGTAAGCTGTTTCGGTTGAAGCCTAAAATATAGGTAGTGGAAGCACTGAGTACCAAGTTTGATACCAACATTTGATTCTGATTGAATTACCAATACCGTTAAATGACGATATCTGTAGTACTGTTCATGTATATAGACGACAGTTGCCACTTACCATCAGGCTTACCATGTCTCTTTCGCACTTGCAGTTACAAACAATAGTAAGAAAAGGACAAAACAATTCAATATCTAAAATAGAACAGATGTTATAGTTTTTATGAAAGAAGACACTAATACACATCCCTTCGATCGATCGCCCGTCCAATTAAACGGGGATTGAAATTACGACAGCCTAAGCCGAGGTTCGATTACCTAACAGTGCCCTCAGACTAAAGTCGTATCTGTCAGGCAAGAGTTGGCCTTCAGCCGCTCTATAAGTCCTTCCGCGGGTTTGGAGTGCCATCTGCACTCGCCCCCTATCGTTCGGTGAAACTGTAAAGGCCAGCTGCGGCCTACAACATTATTATAGTTCGAAAAACTTATATTACACATGCATTGGTTATAATGTATTATTAATTTATTATGTAACAGTTCAATTATATTATTATGAATACTGCGAAACAAATTAAATATACAGTTTTGGCCAAAATTATTGCCACCCTAAAATCCTTAGGATTCTCTTGTCTATTTATTGACCAGTACTGAGTCTATTGTTGCATAGTACACATCTAATGAAATAAATTATTCTTACTTTAAACAAACAAAATAAAACTTGCTCGAAAGTTTGTATACCTACAAGAAGTAAAATGCTGCAATTAAGGCTATGGATTTCAATACGAAATATTAATGTAATTTTAGCATTGAAGGTATTTTAAGTAGGTACAGTAAGTAATTGTAATTACTTAATAGATTTATATAATTTTCTTTAATTCCACTTCAAATAATATGGACATACTACATAATGGATTTCCATTATGTAGTGAAATGGACTTCCTATTTCCGCTACAAATAATATTACCATTAAATAGTGAAATGAACTTCCGCAAAATGAAGCCTAATTCGATAATATATAATTGTGATTTTCTAAGGTGACAAATACTTTAGGCCAATGCTGTAGTTGCTTAGAAATTGCTCAACTGTATTTATATTGGACAAGAATCGTTTAGCTTCACATTATATGTTAACAGTTCATGGTGTATGCATGCAAGTGTACGCAACTACTAGATGTTCATTGTGAAAATGTGCAACTTAATGTTCAACAGCTTACCCGGCGGTATATGGACAGTTTCCTCAGCCAATCCCACCTCCGATGTCGACAATTGCGCCGGCGCAGAGAGAAGGTAAGTGGCGACCCGAAACGGACCAATCGAGACCCAGAGATTTCGAGCTACTCTAACATTTCGAGCTTGATACTTCTGCGTGTGATTGTAAACTCTATTGAACTGTGCTGTAACGTTCTATTTACCGTTTTCCAGCTGTGCTCGTATTTGTCTTCTCTAATACCTATAAAATCTATGTTAGTTATCTACTTAAAATCTTTGTCATAATATAGACATGTACATACAAAAACATTAATTACATCTTACTTGTTATAATTATCAGATTGGCTTTTGATCCGTTGACAATCGACTACAAACAACATCCATTCGATTATATTATTAAAAACAAGAAAAAATATATAATTTTCCTATAGTCGAAAATAAAAAAAAATACGTTTTTTTTTAAACATATATGAATAAATAATCTAGTGGTAAGTATTAAAACATTTTAGCTAGTAAATAGCTATTCCTAAGAAAAGTAATTGTTCTTAAGCGATTTTTTTAATGTTTAACGCTTTGGCTTTATTACTAAAAAAATATAAGTTAAATTGCTATCTGTACGTATTTATATCTCTATATTTTTATACGTAACTATACATATTACAGTCTGATAAAAAATAACTCAGATTGTATAAATGATGTCGCGGATTCTTTATAGGTTCTTTCTTTAGCCCTTATTAGGATTTGTTTCAATATTTAAAAAATATATACTAATTGAATTTCTTAAGAATTCTTCTTGACTCAAATGGCTAGCCTAACTGAACGATATGATAGTCAAAATTATAAAGATAAAAATATGATAATAGAAAGTACTTACATAAAAAATGTCCCATAGGAACAAATTGTTCCGACTTTGAACACTTTTTAAATAGGACTTGCTGGAAAGCGGCCATTTTGTAGTTTGTACACATACAAATGCATCACATTGTTATATTGTGTAGTGATAGTAAATGTATGGATGTTACACACACGCGACACAGTGCATTGATACACCACATGTAACTCATACACACATTCTTCTAAGCAAAGTCTGGCGCTGGACGTTGTCTGTTAGTATGTGTAGTGCACTCTTGTATATCTATGTTCATTATATTGTGTGTGTATTATATATATACTTTAAGTTTAACCATAGACTATATAAATAATATCTACCTCTATGGTTTGACTAATAAATATTTCAAATGTCTTATAAATATGTATCTTATGTTTTATATATCGCATAAATATTTATATATTGCTTATAACAGAGTACATAACACTAATGCAACTTAATGAAAATAATTATTTTGTTTGATTCCGCCACTAATTCTGATTTTATTGAGTCTACAACCATATTATAATATGGATCTATACTCAATAACGGTCGGAATTTGACCACCAATATGCCCAATTTACACTCAGTCCGAGTGGACAGGGAAGTGAACACGAAAGTGAGCAGCGCGAGCGTGTAAACACGAGTGGAAACACTTCCCATGCCATTGTCGCTGCCACTCACGCTGCCCGGCGCTCTTTTGATTGTCGGTATTTCGGACGCGAGTCAAAGGACTGACAGCGCAATTGGCAGCGTGTTTTTACATTCAGCCCTCTCGCTCAGTTATCGCCCGGCAATATTTCCGGCAGCGCGAGTGGCAGTGGAAGCGCTGAATGTAAACGTAGCATATACAGAAGATCGTAATGCTGAAAGCGAAACGTTGATCAGATTTCCATATTTGTGGTCTCTCACATGTTAATTGTAGCGGAATTAAACAAAATAATATATTTCCATTAAGTAATGACATGGAGTTATGCAAAATAACACTTATTATATAAGAGTAGAAAAAGAATGAAGAACAATATTTTAAAATATAATAAATTTACTTGAATATGTTGTTCTTATACTCTCCTCTTTTCCAATCGCCCCACTTTTGTGATCATTTTTTCATTTACACTACTAATTGTCGAAGGTCTGTTTTGAGAAAATCGGAACAAACAGCCCGAAGTGTCGTGAAGTCTTACTTCTTTGTCTTGCTTTGGACAACTGTCCCGGGTGGATATAACATATACAAAAATTATATTAAATAAACTTTTGTGCTAAACTGTGGCTAATATAACCAATTTTCCTCGTAAAAACTCTTAAAACATTAAGGAAAATATTTCTATACGCTTAATACTGCATTAACTGCGAAATGACAAATTTTGAAATTATACTTTAATGTTAAACCTTTCGAGTCTATTTCTATTTCCTTTACCTTTACCACAGATAACATAATATTACATACCTTTACCTTCAACATTGGTGTTCAAAGATAGATTTCTGACTTCTTTAAAGAATTTCGTAAGTTCCCAAGCTGCTTTTATTTCTTACTAATATTGTGTTATTTTTTTTTGGATAAACGTCTATATGACCCTAAAAATATTTTTGTTTGTATTACCTTCAACGTTGGTGTTCAGAGGCAGATTTGTGAGTTCTTTAAAGATTTTCTTATGTTCCCAGGCTGCTCGATCTCCGGCCCCGAGGGCTGCAACCTGTTCATCTACCACCTTCCCCAGGAGTTTGGCGATGCAGAGCTGATGCAGATGTTCCTGCCTTTCGGGAATGTTATAAGCAGCAAAGTATTTATCGACCGTGCCACTAATCAGAGCAAATGTTTTGGTAAGTAATCTTATACTAATATATTATGAGTTGATTAAAAAAAAAAATTCTAATATTAATAATACTAGCTGTGCCCGCGGTTCACCCGCGTTAAATTTCAATATATAAATTACAATAAAATGCCTATGTGTTATTCTGATGCATAATCTATATTACAGTAAAGTTACATCAAAACCCGTTTACTAGTTTTTAAAGTCCGATTAGTAGTTTTTACGTGAAAGAGTAACAAAAATCTATAGTCACAAACTTTCGCGTTTCATAAAAATAATAGTAAGATTAATTATAATTAAAACTATGCCGCCCCCTTCAAATTCATATTCAAAAATCATTTATTCATGTAGGACATTTTAGCCACTTATGAACGTCAAATTTTTTATAGACCCAATTGAGAAGAACTGGCTAGAAACTCAATTGAATATTTATTTGCCTAGTATGTTTACCAGTCCAGTTATATAAAAAAAAAGTATGTTTAATATTTTTATTATATATTAAATTGCAGGTTTCGTATCGTTCGACAACCCGACGTCGGCCCAGGCTGCCATCCAGGCGATGAACGGCTTCCAGATCGGCATGAAGCGACTGAAAGTTCAACTGAAACGGCCCAAGGACGCCAATCGGCCTTACTAACCCCAGACGCCGTCCCTGCGCGCTCACTACGGCTCCACGGTACATATACTTGCTTATATATGCTGCCTGTAGGGACTAGTCTGCTCTTATCACTACGACTGATTTAATCTTATCGTTTATTTATATTTGACCCTAATAAATTAGTGCTATTTGGTAGTTTATATTCACACGTTTCGACTTGAAAAATGTGTACTTACAAGGATTTTTTAAAAGAGCAACACACAAGTTTCTTACTCATTCTTATTGGTGGGCCGGGTCATTGGTCTCCCTAAAATATGGCCCAGCGCAGTGATGGCTGGCACATACATCATTCTCGTAAAACAGTGCTGCTTGTAGGGAGTACTCTGCTCTTATCACTACGACTGATTTAATCTTATTGTATATTTATATTTGACCCTAAGAAATTAGTGCTAGTTGGTAGTTTGTAACACACGTTTCGACTTGAAAAATGTATACTTACAAGGATTATTTAAAAGAGCAACACAAGTTTTTTGCTCGTTCTTCTTGTGACGAGACGGCTTTCCAATTGAGCGGTAGATTTAAATTGGCATGATTATTCAAAAGTGCTTAACTTAAGTTTATTTGAATAAAGGATTTTCTATTCTATTATTTTCTATTTACATTATTATAGTGCATGTATTGTTGATATCTTGTATCTTTGACGGCCTCTGTGGTCTAGCGATTTATAGAAGTTTATAGAAGAAACTTTACAGTAATATAGCTATATTACTGTAAAGTTTATTCGAAATTCATTTAGTAGTTTTTACGTGAAAGAGTAATAAACAATTATTAATATAAAATGTAAATTAAATATTAAAAATTATTTTCAGTATACCAAATAAACAATTTTCTTTCTTTCTTTAAACATCCATCCATGCTCAAAAACTTTCTCATTTGTAATATTATTAAGATTGACTTGGTTTTACCCATTTTTATTCACGTATTTTTTGTTTATAAATAAGTAAATAAACATCGGAATAATATATGTTCGTTTGTCCACAGGAGGCGAGGGAAACAATCCACATGCCAGCGACGCACGTGATCGCGTATTATCAACAATTCCAAGGAATTTACACGTATATTGTATAGTGAATATCATTACATACATACTTATCTAAACAATTATGCAAGCCCACTCGGCGAGTATACTAAATTAGTTAAAGTAATTTATTAAATCAGCGCGTAGGAATGCTTCATTCTTATCATTATCGATTAATCATTAAATTACTCTATTATATTATTATTATATACAATTTATTAACTTTGATTAAATTATTATTATTATTATTGTAAAAAAATGACACGTTATAAAAATTTTGTCATTCGTAATCATACTTCTATTACTAAGTACTTAACGTTTAACTGAAACTTTAAAATAAATTTATTAAACTAGTTATTTGCTTGTAATAAGCCAAACTGAATTTATTAAGTAAGTTGAAAATGTAAGAAAAAATGTATTTTAATTATTGTATATTGCAACATAATGTGACGCCGGGCACGCGCCAGCATCTCTTCTAGTTCGTTGTTCCGCCGCGGCCCCGTCCCGGTCCGGTCCCGGTCCGGTCCCGGCCCGGCCCGGCCCGGCCCGGCCCGGCCCGGCCCGGCCCGGCCCGGCCCGGCGCGGTCCGCGGTGCTCGCGCGGCGTCCGGCCTGTCGCGGACACTGTTGTCTCCCTCCGCCGAACTTGATCACACTAATATAAGTGCTCGGTATAAATAGATCACTATTGGAGTATATATGTCCTATATTTTGTTAAATCTTATTATATGTGTGTCTGGTAAGCTAATACGCTGGGCTGTACCACACGACAGTTCACTGTACCCTTATCTTTCGATTGTTTATATAAAAGTTGAGCGTATAAATTATATATACTATCTCTTTACTCTTATGTATCTCCACAGTAGAAGCGTATGTTTTGTCTCACTCACACAACACAGCGAGCCGTGAACGACACACCAAATACACAGTCAATACACGATGTATATACATGATATAAGCACGAAGCAGTCTCTGTACTTGGTACGCCCAGCTCACAAAACTGCATGTTAGTGGATGTTATTAACAAAATTAAATGTTTAATATTTAACTCTGTGTACAAAGGAAAGTGCACTTCAAAATGAGTCCGAATACTTGGCCTTCGTTTCGAAAGATCGTGTTATTATATGTTGTAAATTCCAAATGGGCTGTGATATAAAAAATATAATATCATAATGGACTGTACAGGCCGTTTATCTCTATTGCATTGTCTATGTTGTGCTCAAAGGCCCCCGCACACCTCTCTCATACATATAAAGTTCCAGACTAATTGGGATAAGGCCCAGGTGTTTAGTGGCAACACCGGTAGAGTCAACGGCCACTTTCGAAAGTGAAATAAGCAGAAGAACGCGATTACAGTATGCAGTTATCCGAATTTGGATACTTTCTGAAGTTTAATTATATAAATGAAAAAACAATTTATTTTTATACACAAACAGAAGAATTTCAGGAAATATCACGAATCTCGGGGAATTAGTTACGAGACTTGATTTCGACGCAGCTGATTTGTTACGAACATCCAATGACTTTGTAAAAGTATCCGGAGAGGTGTGCACGAGGCTCCTTACTTCGCTGTAGAGCGACGTCAATTCATGAGCGCGCTTCCCCAACTATTGTTTCGTGCATTTGTGTGTGTGTCTATTTATCTATATATAAAAACTATTCGTGTTAAGATGTTAAATACAACTGTGACGAACTGCGTCCGGGAGTCAACAGTGATTGGTACGCGATACAGATTACAAAACTAGTGTAATTTCTATACAACAAAAATAGATTCATAATCAAAAAGTACCAATATAAATATAAAATGATACTGAGATACCTTAGATATATTGTGTGCGCGCGAGCGGGCTCGTACCCGTGTGTGCCGGCGGTGAAGCGGCCACTGCGGCCACGCCGCCGCCCCACCCGCTACACGCGCGAAAGAGTTGCCCTCTTCTTTTAAATTACTTGCTTATATTTCCATAACGCGAAGTTATTAAACAAAAGTAGTTGCAACTTAAGTGATAAATTAAATTATACAAAACATTTGTGTAAAATTATGTATAAATATATTAAAATATTGTGAAGTAGGCAACTCTTTATTGATATAGTCGTGACTGTGAGCTGACGAAGTCGCAGCGAGGTCGCAGCGACATCGCAGCGCGGCCGCGGCGGGCCCGCAGCGTGGCCGTGCCCTTGCGGCCGCCGCCCGCCTCTAGTCAAATATTACACTCTCCACAAGACATAGAATTTTATATTTACACAAATAATTATATTATATTGATATAGTATTCTAGTTTTAGGCGTTTGATTTACGAGTAAGCCAGTGTATAAATTGAAAATACATGAAAAAATTATCGTTTTAAGTGTGTATAGTTCATTTCTGAAAAACACGATTGTGCAATACGTTGTTACGCTTTTTAAATTGTTTTAGCATCGTTTTCGTTCTTGAATGCATTATTTTAACTTATTATACTTATTATGTTACCGTTTTTATTATTCGTCGAAGTGGTCTCGTTTTGTAAACCGACTGTAGAGCCGGCCTCACGTTAAAGCACAAAGAATTTAGGGTCGCTGCATACGCAACAGGATATATGTATGTATATTGCGTAGGCGGTACTTCTTAGGAGACACGGATCTACGAGGCGACCCGTCGCTACTATAAGATTTCATAAGTGTATACACCAAATTGTAAACTTTCCTGTAAAATATTTTTGCGGTATCGACGTATCGCTTCGTTGAATATTCATGTTCCGCACGTAGTGAAAAGCGGCCCCGAATATATTAGAAATATACAAATGTACATATTTGTAGACGTGACTCAATAGCGATGGTGTCAGCGGTTATTGTTGCGCACAAAGGCCGAGCTCGAGTCGAACTGATGAGTGGAGTGCTAGCGCTGACGATAGCGGAGCGGCGGCGGCTGCGGGACGTGCGCGTGTGCCGCGCGTAGGCCGCGCGTGAGCCGCGCGTGGGCCGCCCGGGGACCGCGCGTGAGCCGCGACCGCGCCCGCGCCGCGCGCTTCTTAGGTTACAGATAAATCGATGCCAAACCAGAACACGTATACTTAGTATATCGATTATCGATAATATCACCTCGTGGGTAATGTAGAAGTAAACGCCCGGGACACGCCGCCGCGGCGACTCAGTCCCGGGCAATTAATAATATTGTGTACTTATATCTTTATACTGATTAAAATTAAATTCACTAAAGATATATTGCGGTGAAGCGAACGTTTGTAATAGATTAATGAGTCCTCTCTGAATGTATAAACAATCGCCCATAAAAGTGATTCTAGGGTACAGGGTATGCTTTGCAATTATTTAAATGTATCTAAATGTTTTTCATGTAGGCAGATTTTGCCGACTGTCTCAGTTGGACGACTCGTCGTTAACCCCGGCGGCGACGCCCCGGCGCGCCGCGTCTCTCGGGTCCACTCACTAGTCTGTCGCGACTTTTTATACTCTCTCGTACTATCGTAGCGTACCGTCTCATCCTCATCACATCACTGTCCCACGCGACTCGTTATACCACACTCACAGTGGCTATTCAACTGACGATTTGACAGCTTCGTTCCAACTTTAATTGAACTTATTGTAGCTATAGAACTGCTTTGTCCTTTTCTTTCTGGCAACCTTTCTAATTTGAAAGAAAGCGACAGAACACATTAGGAAATTAGAAGTTTTAGGTTCTTAAATAAGGGGATTTATCTATTCTTGGATTATTCGTCTTTTAGTACGTCTGATCACATGTATTCTAAAAGTCTTTGTATTATCTAAAAATGTATACTATACCGATATATATGTATAAATCAATCAATTACTCTTTTATTGTTCATCGTAAAGGTATTATTAGAGATATGCATTCTTCATATATTTGACTGCATCTCAACTATTTTAAAACGATAATTTTTGCTTATAATTTAAAAATACTTAGAACTAATCTATACTATTTTTTATCGTAGCGTAAATTCATCGTAAGG